GGGGAAAAGGTAGGCAAGGTGAGAATAGCTCCCCATTGGCCAATGAGACAATGGTCTCTTTTACCTTGATGTTCTTAACATATAGTGGGTTATCAATAAAGTGACTTGTTGGAAATTGAAAGAGTGTTTATTTGCCTTCCAGATCACTCAGGTCTTATATGATTGTATGCAATCTCTCTGCACAGTGCTGCCTCTTTTGGGCTCTTGTTTGCTGTTTTTAACCTGAGTAAGGTGCCCAAGACTGCCAGAGAGGCACCGAGGTCTAAAGATGCTGGCAGAGGGCGCCTCCTTCTGAGACGTCAATGTCCCCAGAGTAACTTTTGGGCAAACTGAACTTGCCCTCAGGTCAACTTGTTCAAACTAGTTAGTCTAACCCTGCCACTCGCAAACGTTTACTGTAGGCCTATAACATGCAAGACATGGCACTGAGTGCCTGTGTCCTGGGAATGCAGAAGTGGTAGAGTCCCATGGAGGTTAGGACCATGGGCTTTGGTGTCCTGCAGACCTGAGTGTGAGTCTTAACTCACCCCTCACAAGCTGTGTCACGTTGGTACATTGCTTGAGCTCACTAAACCTCAGTTTCCTCATTTCTAAAGTGCACATAACCTATCTCACAAGGTAGTGATGGGTCTGGGAGGCCGTGCTTGTAGTGCACGTGGCATAGCACCTGGTACCAAGTGAATGCTCAGTGAGGAGCTTTTCCTGGAGCTACAACTCCAGTGCCAGCAGGTGGCACACACTGGATGTGTCGCCAGCAAAGCCTTGGGCCTTGTGGGTGCTCTACAGGGCCTGGAATGTCACACCTTGCATAACACCTCAAAGCTTAAATTTGTCATCAGAAGGCCAGTGAGAGGCAGCAGCTTCCCAGGAACTGGCCACTGGGTCCTGCCCAAACTCCACTTTCCCGCTGGTGCGGCTGCCCACACCCTGCTCAGGACCAGGACTCTCCCCTGTGCAGAATGAGGACTTTGTGCAGCACCTGGTTCTGGGAACACTGCTTAGTCTATTCCTTGGCATGGGACCTGCAGGGCAGGTTTGCAAAACATGACACACACTCAGACTCACAGAGCGCCTACTGCTTCTGCCTCTTGCTCCTGCCACATATCGACCAGCCACCCCCAACCTCCCACAGCCAGCCCAGGGGGTCTTGCCCCCTCTCCCTCCTCACAAGTCACTTCAAAGGTGGGTCTTCCCAAGAGGACTTCATTTGCCCTTTCCATTTGTTAGTAATGAGAACACCTTCCTGCCAGAGTAAACGAGAGTCACTACACAGTCATCAAAGAGGCTCCCCTCCCCTGTGCCTTATGCCCCAATCTCTCACAGGCTGGACCTCTGGGGACTCTCCAGGGAGCCTGCCCTGTGCATCTGGACCACAAGGTCCATGGACTCATAAGAGAGAGCAGTTTCTCTTCCACATGTCACCACAGCAGGATGCAGTCACTGCCACCAACGCCTATAGCTTGTGTTGAGCAAGAATGGTGTGTCCCCACCCTGGACCAATAGTCAGATCAGACCAGAGAGTCAAGCCGTAGTGTCGAAGGGAACTGACTTCATCTCCTGCTACACAGCTTCTCTCTGGCACCAGCCTCCATTTCGCTTACCATTTCCCTGGAACCTGATTACAGGTGACCTGTGTCCTTTACCTACGTGGGCAAAGTTTGAGTGCCCTTCCCTTCCTGGTTTTTTACCTGCTTTCAGCCAGACTTTACCATAGGCGTGGTGTGGTTCCTAAAGGTCTGGAAAGCTGGACAGACAAAATGAAGAGGCTACAGATACGGGGGAAGAGAGAAGAGGAAGCAGGAGGCTGAGTCTTGGCTCCATCTAAATCCCAGTCCCCCAGGGTAAGCTAAGAGGAGTTGGCAGGCCTTCCTGTCCCTGTCTGAGGTAGGGGTGGGGCAGGAAAACCAAAGGTGAGGCCAGTCACAAGTCAAGGGTGACGGGAAGTCACACGAGTGGTGAGCTGGGTCTTGGGACAGGGTGTCTGGGAGCAGGGTTGCCCTCAGGGAAAAGACTGGAATCAACTGATAATGGCAGGGAGCAGGCTGGGGTGTTGGGGCTGCCCTCGGAGGTAAACAACCTCATTTTCCCTTCAGCATTAAGCCTCCCCCCACCCCGTCGTCTCCTCATCACTGTGCATGATCTCTGCGGGCTTTGGCGTGGCATTCACTGGGATGACTAAGTGTTCCATTTTGCCCTGGACAATTTTGGTTTATGCCCCTTGTCCTGGCATAACCATGCAGAGCATCTCCTCTCACTCTCAGAAGTATTCCAGTTAGGATGATAAATTACTCGATCACACTTTCTAGCATATCCAGGAGGGCACTGACACAGGAAAAGGTTAGGGAGGAATCAGAGAAGCATAACTAGAAGCGAGGCCCTGGGGGTCCAGAGGAACATTCAGGCTGGCTTCGGCCCAGCTGGATCCTCCCAGAACTGGTCAGTAGTGGGGAGGGAGCTGAGAGCTGCTGCCCAAACTAGGGCTCAGATTATCTCGGGGGCCGAGGCCTGGTCTGGTGGGTTCTGCTTCCTGTCATCCCTCAGAGGGTCTGGCACCACGCTGGGCACCCAAGACGCTCTTAATCAAATCCAGTCATTTCCTTACTTTCTTCTACCTGCATCCAAAGCAGATCTGCAGCAGTGACAAATGGAAGCTGGAGCCCTGTCTATCCAGCAGCAAACCGGAATGTCTTCTAGGTATTCCTGACTCTGGCTGTCTGGCCATGAGAACCTGACAGCTGCATAGACAACCGCAGGTTTCTAGCAGAACTTCCAGAAACTGATCTCGGCCAGGATGATGCTGCCTCCTTCAAATATGGGTAAAGAACTGAATCACTGGAATTCCCTCTCCTGTCTAGATAACCAATTGGTCTAGCCAGCTAGGCCCCAGGTGTTTAGGCTTTGGAGACCTGCTATCTGTTCTGGAGGTAGAGGGTAGGGGTCCAGAAAGTCCTCTTGGAGCTTCCTCTGGGACTTAGTCCCAAAAGGAGATCAGTTCTGAGGTCAAATAAGAGAAGAAGACTGAGAAATCATACACACAAATAATCATGGCACCCCGAACAGCACCCAGACCTTCCATAATATTCTTCCAAACAAAATCTAATGTCCTTGGCTGAAGAGGAGTAAGGGATCAGGAAAGCTTCCTAACTCACTTTCTTTTCCTCCTTTTTTACCCCATTTTATAGACTTTCCTTTAGCTTGGTAAGGGTTCAAGTCGTAGCTGATTAGGACCAGCCAAAGCCATAGGACCCAGCCAGAGCACAGACCGTGAATTCCCCAGCTTTTTGCACTTTGAGTCAGCCCCACAGCCTGGTTGGCCTCCCTGGATTCTTCTCAAATAGGTCCAGAAAAGGCGCCATGGACTCTGGGTCCCCTATTTCTGCTCGAGGATCTCTAGCACCCAAACAAAAGCCAGAGAGAAAGTTGCAGTCTTACTACCTCCTGGTCTGGCTGTACACCAGTCCTGAAACGATTCCAGAAAGACCCACAATTCCCTCCATCACTCAGATCAGGAAGAGACGGCGGAAGGTCCCCCAAAACACAAACAACATTTTCAGTTCATAGAGTTGGGGCTCCAGTGTCCAGATAACCCAGCTCTACCTTGGCAAATCACCATCACTCCCTAGCTTGGATCAAAATCTTCTTTGCCAGCACCATGCATTCCCTGGTCCCAGAACCTTCTCAATTTTTTCTGCATGCTCACCTCACTACCAGAGATGGGAAGCTAATCAGATCACTAGGCAGAAATGGAATAAGGGGCTGTAAAAGTCTGCAGTACTGAGGTGCACCTCCTGACCCTAGGAGAAAGATATGAGATGTAGATTTACCACAGAGCCACAATCCCTTCACAGTCAACTCCTTCTGGAATCATCCCATAGCCTTTCCATAACCATTGCTGTTTGGGTGCCTGAACCCCTATCCCCCCCACCCCCCCAGGCCATGAGAAAGACCGCCTTACAGCAGGGAGCTAGAGCAGAGCTGAACTCTGCCCAGGAGAGCTGCAATGCTCAGAAAGTGCCTGCCCAGTTGCTTGCCTGGGCTCTGGCCCCTCTGGCTGCAACTGAGCCCAGACAGGAGGCTGACTCACTCACCGCACGGAGGAGGAGGAAGAAGAGGAGGACGAGAAGGAGGAGGAGGAGGTGCCGGAAAGGCCCGGGCTCAGAGACCCACGGCTCGCCCAGACAAGGCAGACTGAGTCTCAGCCTTCGGTCCATGGAGGGTGTGAGAGAAAGGAGGGGCAGCTGTCCACCGGCCCTGGAGACCACAGGCTGTTCCCTCCTAGACACTTCCCCTGAATGCTCCTCACCCACCATCCGCAGACTCGGGGTCTGTCACTCCCCAAACAGAAACTACTCCCTGAGCTTCTTCTCCTGTAGATGCTTGCCCCTGAGTTCCCTTGGGCAGCTATGGACAGGCTCTCCTGAAAAAATAAATCCAGTGCACTAGGGCCAATTAGGTCTAAAATCATTGGTGGTTTAAAAAAAAAAAAAAGGTCAAGAAAAGAAAAGAAAAACACTCCACTCTACTTAAAAGACTCAACTCCATATCGCAGGTGACCTTACTTGGGCCCTACAAGATTATAAATAAGGCTACACACACTCCACCCCCAGAAGACCTTAGCACCATCGACAGCCAATCGCTCCCTTTCTTATTCCTCCACTCCATGCCAAGGCGCCCGACAGAGGAAGGAAACAACTGCTTCTTGTTGCCCAAGTGCTGAGCACTGTGCTAGCGGAGCATTTCTGCGTTGAGCTGCCTGAGCATCGAGGAGGTGGTCGCTCCTCTCGCCAGTCTGGCACGAACTTCAGCTTTCTCAGACCTCCATGCCCCCTGTGTCCCAGCCTCATGGCACGACAGTCTGGATCTCAGTCGCCAAGTTTGTCCCTGAGACTCAGACTCTAGTGCTTGCACCCGGGCACTCAGGTCCCAGTGCTCCCGACGCCCCAACACTGATCCTAATCCCTATCCCGAGACCCCCTTTCCCGCTGCTCCCGGGTCCGCACCTGGTCCGGACAGTGGACACGCTGCTCCGCGCTCCCGGCGCCTCCGGCTTGGCGGCTGCCTTTTGACAAGCTGAGACAGCCCAGCACCTGGCCCCGCCCCGCACGAGGCCCCGCCCCCGGGACGCCCCGCCCCGGCCCCGCCCACAGCCCCGTCGCTCTCTTGCCGAGATCTCCATCGGCGCTGCAACCATCTTGACTCGGAATCAACCACTGCACTGTCGCCTTGGAGACTGCCTCGTGAAACCTTCCACGACTGCCGTCCCCAGGCCAAGCCATACTTCTGCCCTCCGTGGGTCAGAGTTTTCGATGATTATGTGTGCAGATCCACGCTTCTGCCTGCGATAATCGGTGATGCACTCGCCCCTCCCCACTGCCGTGGTTCCACCCCGCCTGCTGCGGACGCCTCTGCCAGGTGCGTCACCCCCACCTGGGCTGACCCGCCCGGACTGGGTCGCCCGCGGGGCGCTGGGGGGCGCCTGCAGGCGGGCACGCGTGGGAAATCCCAGGCGCCGCTCGACCTCCTGTTACTTCTGCAGAACTCCAGGGAGCTCAGCCTCACCCCACGCGTTGGGATAGAAGAGCACATGTGGCCCAAGTGGAGCCTGGAGTTGTATCATGGCTCCCACTCGATGTCCCCTCGGCAGCCACCGCAGCTGACCGCGTTTCTGGCCAGTCGCAAATCTCATCCAAGCGGGCTTAGTCTCAGCTTCCCTGGTCCCTGGTTCCCAGTTACCCCTTCCCTACTGTGTGGAGGGAAGGGAGGAGGTACATATTATATCCTGAGACCAGGAATTGTGGATGGCTGCGGAAAATTCGCCTTAGAAAATTTTGGCTAAATATTACTTTCTATTCTGCTTTCCTGACTAAGTGCGGGGCACCCTTCTAGATGCTAGTGGGGAGGTGAAAAAGATGGGGTTCCCTCCTTCTTAGACTCACTGTCCAGTGAGAAAATGTATAAATAAGTAGTAATTACAACATAATGTTCTAGAATAGAGATGCCCACAAAGTCATTCAGTGGTTGGTGACCTCCCTTAGGCAGGGAAGATATTGCTATTCACCTCTTACAGAGGAGGAAACCATGGCTCAGAGGGACAAGCTGAACAGGTGAGAAACTGAGGCATAGAGAGGTTAAGTGATTTGCCCAGTATGACTCCGCTATTTAAGGAAGGGCTAGTCCTAGAGCCCAGCAAGTCTGCCGGTGCCATGGCCTCTGAACTATTTCTGAGACAGCTACGCTAGACTGTATGATAGCCAGCCCCTTCCAACTTTCGATAATTGAATCAAGAGAAATGGGCCAAAGCTAAACAGGACGAAGAATCTCCAAACAGTAAAGATTGTCAAATTCTAAAATAGTTCATTAAGGGGGTATCATTCCTTTCTTTTTGGGAAGACTTTATCAAAAACCCCCCAGAAACTGAGGAGACACACATCATTTGATTGAACTTGGAAATGGACCATCTATTCTGAGAAACGGATGAAAGGAAGTGCCCCTTTGGAAGTTCTGCCAACTTGATGGATAGATTTTTTATTTGTAATGAAAGTAAAAGACTCCCTTTGCCCAAAGCATCATTGGAAAGCTAGCAGTGATTCTCATGGGAAGAAAAGTGTAAGAGGAAATCTCTAACAACCAACACATTGGGACATTCTCAGGAAATCCCATGAGCCTCTGTAAGAGATTGATCACTCAAAAGTCACTTTTGTGGTGCTTAATTGGGCTGACATCTTGCAAATAAACCTTATCAAAAGATAGTGGAAGATGAGTACTAAGTCTTCCACACTAACTGACTGTTAGTCTTTTTTCACACCTCTTGGTCGTAGTTGTGGTACTAGTACTTAACATGTGTGGAATGTTTCATAGCATAAAAATAATTCTTTGGGATATCCTATTTGATCTTTGTTGTAAGTTTTTGAGACAGGAAGAGTAGAAAACACTCCCCTTTGTACAACTGATGTGCAGAGTTGTCAAAGATCTTATATCTGGGGAGTGACAGAGCCACCTGAACCCAGGTCTTCTCTTTGTACATCCCACTGCTCCATGCTGCCTCTAGAAAAATGAAAATTATTTCCATGCACTTTTCATCTGGTGGATCACAGTCTATATAAGCCAGGCTTGTACAACTCCAAGGTTCTGGGTTTGGCAGATTTGCAAGATTATAGATGTCATTATGGCCTGCAGCACTTCCTGTCATTAGCCCCATCACCATTCTCTAACCGTGTTCTTCTCATCTTACCCCCAATACCTAGACTGCTTGCTCTCATCAGTTTCTCCAGATCCTATTCTCTTTCAGGTCCTGTCTATCCCATCAGGCTTTTCCCGATATCTCCAGGCCAAAATGATCTGTCAGTTTTCTGGTCTTTATGCATGTATTGTCTGTATTGCATGGTTTGTCACCTGATAATGAAGCATCTTGTATTTACCTTGAACAAAGATGGATTTTTTGGGGGGGCCTCCATTTTATTCTTAGGAGGAAGGTTATTTTGTAAAAGTAGAAAAGCAAGATTACATTAGATTTACTTCTCCTGTGTTCTGTTGTAATCACTAATTGTCTCCTGATCCTGCTTCTCTCTAGCCAGGTACTGGGAAGGGAGGTTGGTGTTCCATACCCTGTTCTCTTGAAGCCTCGATGACAGGCAGCATTCCTGCACTATAGAATTAGTATCTTCGAACTCTTCTAGCTTGACTGCTGTATGAACCATGCACCAGAACCTCTGCAGAAAACACTAATTTTCTCTTTCTTTTCACTGAAGTTAACACTTGCTGCATTCTCACTTTTCCCTGGGAGGGGTTGCGGTCTTTATGGGATGTGCAGATTCTGTTTTTGGTTAGTTCTCTATGAAAAATTACTTCAGGGAGCCTGCTAAGTGCTTGCTATGTGCAAGATACCATGCCAAGGCCACATGTTCAGATCCCTGTACTGGCCAGCTGCCAAAACAAAGAACAAAAACAGAAAAGATACCATACTATAGACCCAACGATCTATATAGAAACAAAAAAGCCCTTCCAGGTACATCCTACCTGGGAGGATAGATTCCAGAGGTGTCAGGCTGAGACCACCCTTGTGCACTTCATTCCACAGAAGCCAGGGAAAGGCAGAGCTGGCCTCTTGACCTCTCTGCCAGACTCCAGGTATCCGGAGGTGGCCTGGGCAGGTGGGGGTACAGTCAAGCCACAGGGCTGCAGTCTATCCTCAGCTGATGGGCTCCCCTTTTCTTCAGCTTGGTCACTATCCTTCCGCCTGGCTGATACTCTCTGAACACCTTGCTACGGTACCAGAGCTTCACCAGATCACCTCATCCCTGTGAGGTTTCCAGAGACCCTGTCCCAATGGACAGAAGGAAGCTTTTTTATGCTGCCCAGAGGCTGCTTCCAGGTAAAAATGTGCCCTTTGAGCTCTCTCTGGAACACTCCCATCTAACTGTTTGCTTCTCCCATTTTTTAGGGGCCTTTTTCCCCTTATAAATATTTTATGGTTGTGGGCATGGTAGAACTGAAGGGAAGCCTGTGATTCAGCAAAATCCCGAAGAACATTCTGAGAGACGCAGTCATGAAGTCATAGACACAGAAAGGACCAAGCTATCCACTCAGTTGGTTCCCTTGTTTTAGAAATAAAAAAAAAAAAACCCAATTAAGCCTAGGAAGGTTAACTCATTTACTTTTCTAACCCACGTTAGGATGAAAAGGATCTGAGGCTGTCCCCCTGTTTATGTTCCACATGGTGGAAACGGAAGAGGCTGCAAGCAACAAAGCCAGCTGAACAACAGGCCTTCCCAGGACAGTGTTTTTCAACTTTTTACTGGAACCCATTATAAGAAATAAGTTTTTATCATGACCTAGTATACACATGTGATCAATTTCATGAAACAAGTGATGTCCTGCAGTGTTTTCTATTATTTTCTCTGTCCTCCTTTTCTTCCCTCCTTCTTTCCCTCTTTTTCTTTTTCTTTCTTTCTTTTTTTTTTCTCTTTTTTTCCTTTTGGGATCCACCAAATTGATTTCACAATCCATTAATGTATTGTGGCCCAAAGTATTAAAAATCCTGCCCTAGGTTATGAGCTAGGCTGACTTGATCGTTTGCATAACATGGACAGGAAGCTCCATCCAGGGATTTGATTGAATCTTGCCTTCCTGAATGGCATGAGCAAGTTCCTCTCACCGTGGGATCCCCTCATTTAAAACCTGCAACAGGAGATTCACAGAAAGGCATTTGAGAGACCAGCATGGCTTACACATAGCACCCTCAGAAACTCATAGCAGCTCTACAGTGGCTCCAGGGCTTTGGTGGTTCTACCTCTAGGGTCACATGGTCAGGGTAAGGTCACTGAGGCAGCATGTACCCACCCAGTATTTGCCTTTGTGGTCTTAACTCAATTGTATCTTACCACTCCCCTGCATTCTCCAGCTCTGGGAGACTCTTTCAGCCTCAGAATGCTTTATAGCATCTCAGAAATCCTGGCTTCCTCGGAAGAGCACAGCTCTGGGGAGCCATGTGCATGCCATGAGAAGTCAGTGACTGCAAACTCAGCCAGCCCTAGAAAGAGTAGGGCACCGCCAGTTATTTGCTCCAGATCTGTCTGGCTCCGGGGTTCCATTCCCAGTAGCCCAGCTCATGTCTCCATCCTCGGAGCTTTTGGCACTTGTCTTTCCCACCTGCTCCCACATCCTCGAGCCCCGGGCTGCCAGCCTACTGGCCGCACACAGCGTCTGCTGGCATGGCAAAGCAGAGCCTGGGGGCCGGACGAAAGAAGGTGCAGACTCCCACCTGCACCTCCAGCAGAGGCAGCTCTGAGTTCTCGCAGGCTCCCAGGAATTTGCCGGGCTCCTGTCCAAACCCCAGCAGACAGTGAAGACTCTCCTCCGAGCCCCAACCCCAACCATGGAGACCAGCTGAATAGACTAGAGGCTCAGGGTCTTTTCCGATATACGACTATTTGTGGCTGTGGGTTTGGCAACAACCATGATTACTCTTGTAGGAGATGAAGTGAACCTCATTACTAATGCCTTGCGGGAATTCTTATTTTGCTCCTCTAGGGAAGAGTGTCTGTGGAAGAGCTAGTGATGAAGAT